TTGGATTTAAAAATGCGTGAATACGAATCGCGACGTTGGATTTTAAACTCACGAGAATACAAATCGCGATATTGGGTTTTAAAAACGCTTAAATACAAATCGCGATATTGGATTTTGAAATTGAGTGAATAGGAATTGCTAGTACGATTTTTAAATCGCGTAAAAAAAATTGCAACACGTAAGTTTTAAATCAGTTAAATACAAAAATCGATGATTGATATTAAAATCGTTTGATTAAAAATCGCGATTTTAGCAAATTCCGGTGCAGTTCCTAATATTTAAAATTCCAAAAATCAGCTAAAGAAAAAAAAAATCAAATATCGGCGCTCGTAACGAAACTCTTAGACTCCTTTCCACTTTATAGCAGAAGTCGCGGTAATCCGACTATCGTTCGGGCGGCTTGGGTTTCTCCAATAGGACTTCCCAAAAATTTTAGTTTTTGGAACATGGTCGGAAATTTTCAAAATTGGGAGAAAAAAAGCGGATTTCCGCTTTTTCGTGGAAGTCTTTCATCCCTTGGAGACGTGAACGGCAAAATGATCTCCAATGACTCACGGCAATGCGGATTAATATTTGAAACTGAATTCAGGTTTGCCAAATTTTGGACGTTTTGTCTCAGAATGGCGCAGCTTTGGCAGAAACTGAGCTGAATGTCGCAAAATGGCGCAGGCGTAGCATCCCTGGACATGTAGTAAACATACAAGAGTGGTCAATTTGACAAATTGCACTATACTATAAATTAGATGTGATTATTAAAGGATTTCTAGCAACAATTATATCTCAGCCCCAGTTGGGCTCGAAATTGGCTCAATACGGATCCTATATGAACATGCTCAGTGGAACAAATATTGAGAAGTCCAGATTATATTAATATTGGTCCTTTCTGGTGTCAATATCAACCTACATAGCGCTTATATTGGCAAAATAGTGATTATAGAATATCGGGTGAATCTGACAATTTTATATAGGGCCGATATGGTTTGTAAAGTGGCAGTAAAATATCGGATGAATTGGACAATTCCATATAAGGCCCATATTGGAAAAATATTGGTCCTTTGAACCCTTATTGATCCAAGATTCGTGAATATTGGTTCAATAAGGGCCCAAGTTATTTTGCTGTTAAGGATGGTTTAAATATTACACAAGAATTTAACAGGGGGAGGGTGTTTGTGATTTGCTTATTTCACAAACAAGGGTGAGGAGAAATATGATGATGAATGCTTGTGTCAGACAATAAAATCCTTCAACTCAAAATTTTATAAAATAAATTAAAACATAAATTTTGATTTATGCAAAGTTTTATTTGTTTAGACATACTCTATTTAAATTCAATGCTAAAATTAGATTGCTAGAGTAAAAATCAAAGCAAACAAAGGATCGGGTCTTGATATGGGAAGAGGATTCCTCAAAATATGCCTATGCAATATTTAAACAGCTCATAATCAAGATTTGAACGTTTAGTGAAAATGAATTAGATTCAGAAAATTTTAATTTTAAGAACACACAAAAAAAAAAGTTTTAAAAGTTGTTCCGATTAAACTTTAAAGATTTGTAAATCTTATGCAGACCTTGATTATTTGAAGTAGGTGTGACAGGACCAACTTCAGATAATCACAATATTCTGATAATAGTAGTGCTAATCAAATAAATATAGGGTTTGCTTAGTGCTATATAAATAAAGCTAAGAAAGAATTAAGCACAAATAATGGCAGAAAAATAAGTATACAATAGAGTCTGTCTGTTTTTCTGCACTAATTTGGGGTTTATTCCCTTAGAAGCAACATATTTTTTTTAAATTTATACACAAATTTAACTTACTTTTTCTTTAAAAAAGAAGCATGACTACACATAATTTAAAATATCTGATGTGTCATGATTTGTTTTAATCTTCTAAACAAAAATTAAATTGAATATACAGTAGAACATCCTGTTAACGCAAACATTGAAACGTGAGGATCACTGTATGCAATTTTGTGTTAGATGGATCATTTCATGTATCATTAAATTTTACATCTATCCACGGTAATATATAACTGGAACAAATCACTATTAATGTTTCAAAACAATTTTTTAAAAAATACTTTAAAGCACAAAATATACTTTTGGTTACTTATTATTTGTAATAAAAATAATTAAATTATTAAGAACATTTGAATAAATCCAGCAAAAATATCAATTTTATATTGCTTTATGGAGATCGTAAATTTGTTATATAGATTTTTTACTGTAAAAGCTAAACTAACAACAAAACTTCTTAAAACAAACTTCTTACACTCTATAATTATCATTAAAACTGACATATTAGGTAAATGAGTGAGTTTGGGCTGTTTAAAATTAGTCTAATTACTAATTATTTACCTTTTCTCCAAACACAAAAAAGGGAGAAGGGAACTTTCCAGGAGAATTTGTGTTATTAACAGACGATTTATGAATCAAAGCAGCTCTTCCTTCAGTTGTAATTACCTTCCTTTTCTCCTTGTGGAAACAAACATTTGGAAAGTGTCCCATAGCCAAGAGAGCAGCAACCTAGAAAGAAAAATAATAATAAACTAAGTTAATAATTAAGTCAACGAATTTTAAAATAAAATATTCCTTTTAACCATAGGAGCATGCATGTATAGTTTGTCTATGGTAAGACCCCCCCCCCCGCGCCGCCACAAAGTCAGAGGTCGTCTGCTGCTATGGAAATAAGAATAGCGCATTTCGGGGAGGGTAGCTCCTCTTCACTCCAGGGCAAACACAGTAGATCGAAGGAAAAGATTTCCTTTCCCTTGCTGAAACCTGTCCTAAACAGTGACCTTACACCCCTACTTGAAATAGTTATACCATTTTACCATAGTCACCGCCATGGGTCCAGAGGAATGGCTAGGGGAGTTCTTACTTTAGTCAAACTATAGTTTCTGTTACCTAAAAATGGAGTTTTTTTTCCTTTTAAAACAGAAGGAAGAAGGTACATGCAAACATACAATGCAAGTATTCTGCAAATACTGGTAAACAAAAAACCAGAGTTGTTCTTCATTCTGCCATTTCTCACAAGATGTTATGTTGGCACTATCCCTGTGGCGACACAGCAACATTGTTGCAGAACATTACTGAGTTTTCACACAAAAGATTTTTCCTTTGGAAAGTAAAAAATTGTGGGTTTTCCTCCCCAGAAATTTTCTCCAGAATTATACTCAAAAGATGTCACTCACGCACATCGGAGTGGAAATAAATGCTTGTGATTTTTCTATTGAGAATAATGAATAATGTAGTAAATTTGGTTTTCTTTTCTGCAGAAATGTCTGTTCTAATTTTTTTTATGTAGTTTTTACTAATGATTTTCACATAGTTTTTAAAATCTGCTATTTTTAATATGAAATAATTTATTACAACAACTGAATCTCGAAATGAAACACGTATTTAGTAATCCTTTTTCGAAGAGTCCAATTCGTGTGATTTCGCCCTTTTTTTTAAAAAAAAAAAATTGATGATGATTTACAAAATGCGGAAAAGGAAATAATTAGAGTTTTCCTCTTACAAAATGCAAGAATATCACCTATAATATTAGAATTTATTATAAGCATTATAGCTTTTTATATTACTATAAAAAGCATCTTTTCTGATGTTGCTAGATGAAATTTGATATTAGGGCATCAGAAAAAAATTATCAAGAAAAAAAAAATGAAGCAGTCATTTTGAGAACGGCACACATTCAGGGGTGATTGTGAGCCTAAGTCAAAATTCCGGAAAATTTCTTGAGTAAAAAAAAGAAGTTTAAATCGAGAAAAATTTAAACAAGGTTTTTTTTCTTTTTCTCAATATTTCTTAGTTTACTTAAAATATATTTAAAATTTTACACATACCTATGATGACCTGGAGAAGTAATTGAAATTTAGAAATATGTCTTTCTTTCTTGAGTTTATGATTATAATAACTATTTACTGATAAAAAAAAATGAATACTAATCTTAAATGTAAGCTTATAAAGTATCTGGTACTCTCTTACAAACAAATAAAATAAACTGTGTATTTAAGTTCCACCTTTGAAAATTTGATTTCCGGAAACTTTTGTGATTGATGATTTTTTGAAACGTCTGAACCTTTGATCTCCGGAAAATTCCGGATCACGGTTAGCGAAAAATCCGGGTTTTTTCCGGAGCACAATCAGCCCTGCATATTAAAAATTGCTTTATTCATACATTTGGACTTCAAAAAATAAATACTCACTATATCAAGTTTAGAATCATTCCCTTCAAAATAATAATTCTGAGCTACAAGATTTTGCTCCGGAAATCCAGCTGTAGTTAGAAGATCTTTCAGCTGATTCTGTAAAAGGAAAGGGAAATGATATAAATAAATAAAAAATGTATTGAAGGTTTTATTTTAAAGAAATACAATATATATTCTTAAAAAATTACTACAATTATTCAAATACATTATCATTAACGTTGAACGACAATTATGCATATTTTAAAAGTAAGATATTTCCACAACCCATTGCTGTAATTTTAAGACTTGCGGCATCAGGGTGCGTAGTCAAATCTTTCAACGAAAAATAAGCACTTTTTAACTACTCAAATAATATTTTTAAGCACTATATACATTAATAAAATGCAAAATAATTTTCAAAGACTTTACATGATCTATAAAAATAAAGAGTTTCGGACTAAGAACTCTTTTCTTGATTATATTAGCCGTTATAAAATAATCAAGAGGTTTTTCGGTTCGATATCAGACAGTTGAAAATGAAGCCTGAAATTGTAATGTCTTGCAAAATGCAGCACAGTTGAACATGAGAGTGCAAGAATCTCAGCAACTCCCTTAATTTAGTAGACGCACACTTTCAAGGATGCCATCAAATATGTAAAATGATTGGCGCTTTCATAAGCTATGGACCGACGGGACGGCGAAATAAATTGCAAATGAATTGTGAAAATGTTGAATTGAACAATGTGAAAAGCACATGCTTTTGTTCAATATGTGACAAAAATCGACATGATAAAGAAAAAAAATCTCATTTTTGAAAGGGGAAAATTGACCACTTTTAAAAAACACCCAACGAAAAAGAGCATCTTTAAGGGCTTTTAAAAAACAAAAGTCGAAAATAAGCACCTTAAAGCAATTTTTAAAAACGCTTCGAACCATGAACATGATAGTGGCAATGCAGTCAGTAATGTGCATGGGTTTTCTTAATTTCCCAGAAAAGCTAATGTCAACCCACCTATCTGAAGATGGGGGAACTTCAAGCTGCCACTTAGGATAGAACCCTAGCTATCCACAATGATAGTTTAGTCCTCTAACCACTGTGCAATCGTCATATAATTTAAGTTCACAAAATTTGGCATACTATGCAGAATGTCCCTTACTCTTCATTCTTAATAAATATTTTTAGTATCCAAATAAGAAATAAAGTAAACGAGAACTAGTAGCTGTAAATAAATATTTAAGCAAGGGATAAACAAAAACGATATAGAAATCAAACAAAACACTGCTGCGAAAAAGAAACTTAAAACAACAAATCCTGCTGAAGCTTGATTGCACAGTGTTTCTCATAATTGCCTCTGTCAATCAACAAGGTTTTGATGTTATCAGTTTTGACTGTTTCAATAGTTATTTGCAAGATTTTAATAGAGTTTTTGTCTTTTTTTAAAATTATTTTGTGACCCTTAATGCGTATACCTTTTTTTTACTCAATTTTAAACAAACTATGTGAGAATAAGTTCCGTGAATGCACAGCTGCGGTCGGAAAAAGTGGCAAAACTACCGTAGTTGTCACTTTATATCAAAGCTTGCAGTGTAATGCACTACTTTTTTAAAAAAATAAATAAAGAGAGAAGTGCAATACAAAAAATTACTAGTTTATATTGACTCCTGATAACTACTTTTAAGGTTAGTTTAGTAAAGAATCAATTTTCAAAAGCAACTAATTTTTTGAACTTGATTGATCTGCAAATCAGCGGGATATGCTAGTAGAACATATTTTGCTAGGTAATATAACACTCGATGTTCGATACTTCCTGGAAGAAATGAAAGAATTTTAGACACTTAAGTATTTATTGAAATAAACCTTCACTTTCAAGAAAGGCAAAATATGGCAAAAAAATTGAAATGATGAAAGAAAAAATTATACAGAATAATAATTGGCTCTTCTAAGGCAGCATGAAATCTTTCTTAACAATTTCCTACGTTTAAATAAGCTACTTTTATTTTTATGACATCTTTCCCTCTCAAAACCCGTTTTTTAAAAAAATTTGAACACAAATGTAAATTGAATTCTCCTGCATAATACATCTATTAAAAGTAGTTAAGTAGTGGCTAGTTTTCGAAAGTAGTTTGCAATCACTACATTGAAAAAAGTTAAAATAAATAAATACATTTATAATTAACCCATGCAGCAGAGATCAGTATTAATTACGTGAAAATAACGTTAAAATGCCACAAGGTTTAGAGCAAAAAAACGTTTATTTAAAACGTTTTATTTCCGTTTCGAGTGGTAGTCTCGAATTAGGTAAAAAAGCGTTTATATTTGGGCTGTTTTTAACGTAAAAATGACGGATTTTTGCCGTTATTTTGACTAAGGTGAATTTCGTAACCAATTTTTAACGTATTTTTTACGTTTTTTTCACCAAACTATTTACGTATATTTTTGGTTCTATAAATTCGTTATTTTCACCAAGAATATTTACGTGTTTTTAACGCTTATTTTTATTAAAATAACGTACATTTTACGTTATTTTAACCAAAATACAAACGTATTTTATCCAT